TACGTTCTTTACAGGAGTCAAGGTCACTTGTGGGACTGTTCCTGCTTGGATTAGAGGGCTGGGGCTCCCTCCGCACAACAGTTTCTCTGTTTAAAGGGCCATGTTACCCAGAGACAAAAGTACTGGCAATGTGAAGTTGAAAGCACCATCACCTGCAACAATACTCCTATGATTCAAAAGGCAACGAAAGTCAAGTAAAGGGCCCCCTGAAACGAGAGGGATTTCTCCTGGATAGAGTAGACTTAAGAGCAACAGCAAAAAACCTGGCTGATCCGATAGTAGGACTGGACATATGACCTTGGGAATACTATATCCTACCCAGTGTTTTCACTTAATGGCCTGCTGTCCGGAGGAAAAGTCCTTCTGGTGCTGTCGCCAATCGTACGCGGTAATCATGCCTGCGTTACAGAGCGCTCCACCCGACCCAAGCCCTGCGATATGCAGTAGGCGGAAGAGTCCCAAGGACAAAGACGTCCCTTCCTCCAGCAGAAACTGGTCATCAACGGCTTTAATAACTGGGGTGGGGAAATGGAAACGGGCCGTCAGGAACTAAGACCCTCCCTACAAAACAGAAGCCGAAATTAACTACAGCTCAGCTCTGGCCCAGGTAGAGTGAGCACATCTGTTCACCCTGCCACTCCTCTTACACACCCCCGCCCCCTCCTTCAAAGAGACGCTTTCCCTAACTCCGATGGACACACCTATGTTCTCTATGGCGAGTCCTTCCTCCAGGACCACGCAGCACCCCCTCCCGCCATAAAAAGGCGGGTGGACAGCACGGTCCGGCCTCTCCCAGCGCCGTAGACCGCATGCCGAGGGCGAGCAGCGCTCACTTCTGCTCCAGGGGCCGGAAGGCCAGCCTAGCACATGGCTCTGGGAGCGCCCAGCACGGCTGGCGGCCAGCCAAGTACAGGGCCCCTTTAAGGCGCGCCGGGGTGCGTATGGGTAGGGGAGGGAGACCCCGGGGCTTGAGGGCCTGCAGTCTCCTCAGCCCCACCCTGGGCCGTGCGCTCCCTCCTGCAGTTGCTCACCTTGGCTCCGATGAGCCGGGCGGCCGCAGTGAGTAGAGCCATTGGCGGGAGAACTCTGGGATCTGATGGGGAGGCAGGGAGGGGAGCGAGCTGCGGCAGGAACGGGAGCCTCCGCCGCTGCACCAGACGCCGCGCCGACGGGTGAACAAGGTTGAAAGGAGGCGGCCGAGGGAAAGGGTAGACGAACCGGCGGCGGCGCCCAGCCCGGGGTCCTCAGCGAGGCCCCGCCTACTGCCCGGAACCCGCTCTCGCCGCTGTCAGGGACTTGACGCGGGCTCGGCCATTGGTCGGGTGTGGAGGAGGGCGGGACCTGCCCCGTTGACAGCGGCTGTAGCGGGGAGGATTGGACCGCCGGGTAGGCTAATTCAGGGGCGGGAGCGAGAGAAGCTTGTAGGTGGCTAAGAATGTGCCTGAGAACTCAGTTAACTTCCCTCTTATGCTTTTTTTCTTGCCTGTAACACATTCGGGGTTAGTTCTTGGGTGAATATTAGAGAAAAAGCCTCAAGGACTTCGACCTTTAAAGGTCCTCAGAAGCCATCCCCTTAATATATTATCATGGCAACTGATCAGTACCCACTCCTACCCCCTTGGCGTGCTTTCTTGAATGTCTTTGGTCAATGACTTAATGGCCATAGAGGTGACATAATGCCAGAATTAGCTTTCTAACAAACCCCCCAGCCCCCCAATAGCTGGAGAAGGAAGGCAAAGGCCGGAGCCTGAATATCCAGTGCTCTTTGGGGCTGTCAGTTCTATTTAGTGCCAGAAAATCCAAGTCTTACAAATGCTCCCTTAATATGGAGGCTTCCAGCACAGGCCAGAGCCTCTGGGCCCTGGGCATAGTCTCCCTGCTCCTCCAGGCACCTAAACCCCTACAGCCGGCTCACTCTACTTCTAGCCATTAGATGCAGACAAAACCTGCATCCAAAGTCAGTCTCGAGGCACACTCCCTGTTTTGTCCTGTCACTCCCACTGGGCCTCTGTACCCCGTCTCCTACTTGGCTATCTTTTATACACTTACCCTGTGCTCCCCAGAGACCATTAAAGGAAACATGGCACTAAAGTGATCGTCCACACCATGCTTGACTAACTCCTCTGGGCAGACAAGACCTCGGGACCTTCCCTCCTCCCAAAGCCTCCTTGTCATTGACCCAAGGGCAGAGAGGGAAGTGACTCAAGGGCCTGGGCATCTTAACTACAAACCTAAGCCCCAAGTGAACAGTCCTCTTATCTCCTCACATAGTAGTAACAAGTTTCAGAGGTCTCAGTACCATCTAAGCCAGGTTTCCATAGACCTAGTTTATGAGTTTATAAAGAACCTAGTTTATAGCGTGGACTTGGGGAAAAGAGACAGAAAACCATTCTTTTTTCTTACCAAGTTTCCTCATACCCAACTGCACACCTACCACCCAATGCTCCTCTGGACTGGGGATCACATGTAGGTCTTAGGAAAGAACGTAATAAAGATAAGCGGAGCAGTAACCTCTGCTACCTGTCGGTGACTTCAAAGCTCCACTGATCAATATTTGATCCCAATTTAGCATCTCACAGAGGATTTCCTCTTAACCCTAGAATAGTCTGACCTTGTTTCTTCTCTCTGGTTAATTATCCACAGAGACTAGCCAGCAGACCAGAGGACTGAACTCCAGTGCCCCAAGCGACAGGAGGCATTTTCAGTGTGAGGCTACCCAAGGGATAATTATTGAGTGGCCATAAGGGTAACCTATTTTGGCTCTCTAGTGATTGGAGGGAGGGTGGGGAACAGTAATGCTCTAAGCCCTTTGACACAGTGTCCTGGATTCTACTGTCATGATGACTATATGGACTTGTTTTGAAGTTGTTCAGTCCTGACATTTACTGCTAGAAGGCCAATGGGAAAGCCCAGGGAGCAAGTGAACTAAAAGGTATGTCACAGGAGCTGGCTTATAGTCTTTTTCTGAAAGTGGACAGGACCTGGGGAGGTGGGAAGAAAGTTAAGGGAGCCCTGGCCAGGTAGCTCAGTTGGTTAGAGTGTTGTCTCAATACACCAAGGTGGAGGGTTCGATCCCCGGTCAGGGCATATACAAGAAGCAACCGATGAATGCATAAAAAATTGGAACAACAAATAAATGTTTCTCTCTCTCTCTCTAAAAAAAAAAAAAATCCATGAATCAAAAAAAAAAAAAGAAAGTTAAGGGGAAAAGATTGGTATGGATAAAACAACCAAGTGAGTTCTAGGGCCCAGATACAAATAAGTGCCTGAGAACTGAAGTGGGCAAGAGAGAAGGCTGAGCACTGAGGTCATCCTGACCTTGAGAGGACTTCTTTAAAATAGACAAAGGCAATAGTGCCCTCTGGTGGCCAAGAATAAGTGGGAGACCACAGCCTAAACTTAAACTCTACATCAGTAAAACAAACTCCTGTATTTAAGGGGTAGTAACTAAAATTGATTGAATAGTTACTATTTACAGATACATGTATTATCTCAATTAATCCTCACAACTCTAAGGTCTATAAATAATAATATCTCTACAGAGGAAATAAAAATTTAGATAAGTATGTTTTTCTATATTTAAAAATATTTTAGCCCTAGCCAGTTTGGCTCAGTGGATCAAGCGTCAGCCTGCGGACTAAAAGGTCCCAGGTTCGATTCCGGCCAAGGGCACATGCCCAGGTTGTGGGCTCGATCCCCAGTGGGGAGCGTGCAGGAGGCAGCCAATCAATGATTCTCTCTCATCATTGATGTTTCTATATCTCTCTTCCTCTCCCTTCCTCTCTGAAATCAATAAAAATATATTTAAAAAATAATATAAAAATAAAAGGTGCCCGGCCACAGTGGCTCAGTGGTTGAGCATCGACCTGTGAATCAGGAGGTCGTAGTTCGATTCCCAGTCAGGGCACATGCCCGGGTTGCAGGCTCAATCCCCAGCAGCGTTTGGTGCAAGAGGTAGCAGATTAATGATTCTCTCTCATCATTGATGTTTCTATCTCTCTCTCCCCCTCTCCCTTCCTTTCTGAAATCAATAAAAATATATTTTAAAAAGTAAAAGGTAAAGAACTACTGCCCTGGCCAGTGTGGCTCAGTAGGCTGAGCATCATCCCATGCACCAAGAGATCACCAGTTCAATTCCCAGTTGGGCCACAAGCACGGGTTTCAGGCTTGATCCTTCCTTGGTAGAGGTGCTGATCAATGTTTCTTTCTCTCCCTTCCTCTCTCTAAAATAAAATAAAATAAAATAAATATATATAT